TCAGTCCTTTTCCCCTGCTCATTTTATGTTTTTGTCACAAATTATCCTTTTTTATGCTGTGCATTTGTCTCAAAATTGCAGACACGATAGTCTTTTAAAAAATGCTTCCCCCTCTTTTCACCCTTATAATTAAGTTTTTAACACCCCATTCTGAAATAAAGTTGCAATTTCCTGCTCTGTCATCTGTCTGCCATCTTATTCAGTTTTGTATCCTTTAATCTTTTTGTTTTGGGTAGAAGAGCCCCTTTCAACATTCCTTACAACACAGGTCTTATCGTGGTAAATTTCCCTCAGCTTTTGTTTGTCTGGTAAAGCCTTTACTTATGAAATGTTATTACCCAAAGTTACCCCCAATAAATTTTTTAAAAAGAGAAAAAAACCAGTCTTACTGGTTTCAAAGTTCTTATACCACAGACCAAAACTTCAATAATTTTATCCGTAAGAGCTTTTTTTAGAGAGTGATGATTCTTCATTCATCTTGGAACCACGTTCGACCCATGCTATTCAGTTGGCCTGTCTTTCATGCTGGGGTCTACGGTCCACGTCAGGAAGATTTTTTAAACATGTACCAAGCACCTTCTTCAGCCCACGGTGCATGACATCTGCTGGAGCTCCCTCCACGCGATCACTCAGACATCCACTCCAGCGCTCTCTGACCAGTGCTCCCGGGACAGTCTCTAGCCCTGTGCCTGGCCCTCTGCCGGCTGCTCTGTTTATGTGTGTGTGTACACAGGCCAGAAGAACCAGGGAATTCATACCCACCCTCCCACCGGTAAGCAACTCTCAAGCCACAATTTTGGGGAGTTGGTGTTCAAGTGCTTTTGTTCTCTCAGCACTTGCGTGGGATGATTCTGAGGGATGTATTTTAGACCAGATTGAACTCTGGCTGCCCGCAGTGGTGGCTGGTATGGAATGTCAGAGCATGCTACCCCAAAGTACGCCAAGCTGGCACATTGGTTACTTTGAGTTAAAAGCACTGAAAAACAGCTGACACAGAAAGGGCACTCTGACCTTCCTTTTTCTTTCTGAAAGCAGGAGATAAAAGTCGATGCAAAAGGTACACTCCCTGTACCCGGAGACATTCTTATTACCAGAGATGGGGACTCAGAGCCAAGGGAAATCTGTACAAACAAACCTTGTTAACCTGACCTTATCTTCCTGGTCACTTTTCCATAATTAACTGCCCTTTTGTCTTGCCAAGTTTTCACAATTTACTACTCTCTGTCCAATCTAGTATATAAGCATTGGGCTCCAATTGTGTCTTTGGGACTTTACTTTTCTTATGAAGGCTCTGTGCTCATGTAAAAATTACTAAATAAAATTTGTATATTTTTCTCCTGTTAACTTGCCTCATGTCAACATTCTTAGGCAGAGGAGAAATGTTACCTCCCCTGCACTGACTTAATAACATACTCTTTATAGTCTGTCTTCACCTTCCTACATCCCATCACTACTCACACCAGTGTTCTCTGCACCTTTCACAAAACTACTTGCACTCAGGAATAAAATAAAAGAGGCATCTACTAGAAAGGGTGCAAAGTATATCGTAAAAAGGAAAAAAACAACAAATGACAGAACGAACCAATTAGACACAATACTGATCATGCTATTGCGAACTCTGGACTTCCTACTATGCATAAGAGCTTTTGCAATTTTAAAGCGTTAAGAGTTAAGTAAATAGGAGAGTTCAATATCAAATCAATCCTACACTCCAGACAGGCTGTGTGAAGCCTTTGGGGCAGTTTGTTCTATGGCGCTCTGTTGGTGGCAATTCATAGAAGCATCTAGAGCTCGCTCATGCACAAAGCGTAGAGGCCTGAAGAACAGACCAGTGATTGGGATAGCAAAGAAAACCTAGAAAGTCTCTGCCTCCATCTTTCTCTCTTTTTCTGTTCCCCACTCTACATGGCCACTACCAGCACCTCATAAGACCACAAAGTAGTGTGCAGCATCCCAGAGAGACAGACTGATTTTCTTTTTCTTCCTCCTCTGTTCTCTATTGCTCTCTTTTTCTCTCCTCCAGCAGTCTCTTCAACCCCCACCCACCCACCCACACACAAAAATGATCCTGCTTGGGCAAGGCACCTGTGCCAGGACAAATCAAATGTGAGGTAAAAGCAATGTCACATGGTAGAAAAATGGCACTACTCTTCAATCCAATAGAGTGAGGGAAAGGAACCTTTCCAGAGAGTGGATATTGGCAAACAACCCAATACAGTCAACCATATGAGTCACAGATCTGTTTAAGAAACCGAGGAAAACATGGGACATTCTTCGCAGCAATATGCGCATATGACAAACATCAAAATGTATAAAATTGAGAGCGTTCATGAAACCCCATTCTTGGATCCTAATTTTAGTTTATTTATTTATTTTGGTTACAGATGTTTCTCCTTTCCCCCCCATGGACACCCTTCTCCCAATCCCCCCCTCCCCCCCCAGCATGATTGTCTATGTCCTTGTTTACGCATACATGAGTATAAGTTCTGTGGTTTATTAGATCCTAATTTTAAAACTTTCTATATCCACTAGATATTTCAAATGTTTCAAACTTTTCACGTGTGCTCTAAAATTTTTCAAATTTTACATACTGATTGATCTTATGTTCAAAGGGTAGTCAACCACAACAACTACACATAGTCAAATGTTATGTCTTCCGAGGAAATATAACACATGAATAGTCTACACGTAATAGCATGGACTAGGTGGACAGTGTCTTTCATCAGCAGATGGAGACAACATGGCATCCTTCACATTTTTTTTTACTGTAATTAAACTACATTTCCATAGTATGTGCCCAAACATGATCAAACATTTGCGGGGGTGTACCTAGCCCCTCACCCATTCAAATTATAACACCGAAATTATCTCATAAAGAGATATATTAAGTGATTCAAATAGTAAGACCTAGTCCATCACTATTCGTGATGGCCTAGAAAGAAAAAATATTTATATATGGCTCAATTGAACATTTCTCTTCTAAACACACTGCTACTACTACATATAAGTTTGCTTAAAACAAGCACAGACAACAGAAATGAGCTAAGGAAATGAAATGAGAAATAAATGCCTGAAATCTATTAAGCAACATGTGAGATATAAATAACAAATTATATGAAAGTGGTCAGAAAACCTATGCCCTTGACTGGTGACTAGGAAGCAGTCAATATTATCAGCTGTACGTCCTTAACCTCTGAGGGTATATAATGGAAGGAAATGGTCACATTCTGCCACATGTCTTACGCTACAGGAAAGGAGAATAATAGAATACAAAGAACAATGGTTTAACGGAGACTCATATTCTCATGTTATTGAAACATACATAAAAAGGGCTTGCAGATGCAGTGTGTTATGTCCATCCATGCATTTTGATTCTACAGTATATCTTTATAAGGTCCATATAGGAAAATATAAAAATTTAAAGTATTGTTTTAATAATACATTTTCTAGGTAATATCCAAAAGAGAGTCTAATTTCCTGAATATGTGAATATATAAACTTGACAAAGCTAGGATGATGAAACACCACTGAGCCTAATTACATACAACAAAGTCTAAAGGAAAGACTATATTCCTGCACCATACTGAAAATTCTTATATTAACTGTAGTTAGAGAAAGAAAGACATTATATGAGGTTAAAAATTATTTTTTAAACGGAGTGACTGCTATACCACTACCATTTTTTGTAAACAATATTGAACCTAGATGTGAAGGCCAGCACATAAAGTCTAAAATTTAACAAGTTATCGTATGTTCATAAAGAAATTTCTATACTTGAAAAACTTTGGAGAAAGTATTATTTTAAATCATACAGAAATAGCATAGACTTTTTCATTCATGGATTTAACATGAGTACTTTTTAACATTCTCATGGGACCATGAAGTTCCATGACAGGTGGTAATTTATAATCATGGTCACAGATTTCACTTGGATACACTAAAAGTCTGGTTGGCGTTCCTGGAAGAGTTATTAAATAGAAATAATAACAGCCAAGCTGTCTTTTTCTCTGCTCTTTCTTTTTTTTTTTATCCTCACCCGAGGACATTTTTCCATTTTTTGTTCAGGTAGAGTGGGAGGGAGAGAGAGGAAGAGAGAGAGAGAGAGAAACATCGATGTGAAAGGGACACATCGAGTGGCTGCCACCCACACAACTGACCAGGGCCGGGGACAAACTGCAACCGAGGTACGCGCCCTTAGCGGGAACCGAACCCGGGTCTCTCAGGACCGCAGGCCGACGCTCTAACCGCTGAGCCAAACCGGCCAGGGCTCTCTGCTCTTTCTTGAATGCAGAGTAACTTTCATGTAATACCTGAAAATTTAAAAAAAATTTTAAATCATATATACCTTTTTTTAAAATATGGGAAATGCCATATGACAACAGAATTTGCAAATGTGTGGATTCACAAAGGAGGGCCTCAGGATGTCCCTCATGAGAAAGGCCAAGGGATGAGCGGTACCCAGGAGAATGCCACATTTGGGTCCTATCTATAGGTGCATCACAGTCTAATAGAATGTTCAGTAGGAAAAACTGACAATTAATCCTAGGATCAGACTCGAATTGTGCTACTAAATCCTAGCATGGTTTCTTATTAAATCAAAGTTAAGATACGCCCACTATCTCAGTAGAGAATGAGAAAAAACTCTGTATGCATCTGCCTTTTCAATACTAAAATGATTACATCATGCAAAGTTCATCTAAATTCTCTGATGTGGAATTCAGAACTGAAGTATCTCTTTGCACAAGTATTTCACCAGGACAGTGATCTGAAGACCAATGCTCAACTGTAGTAACTGTAGCTCAAAAAACCTAAATGTCACCTTATGGTACACCAGAAAAGACTCTTTGTCACATTTCCCCCACATTTCTTATTTCACATTCAAACAAACGGGCAAATACTTATAAATATATCCAAAGCCCACTGCCTAGACACACAGCGAGAACCAGGAGTGAAAACAGATCTGTGAGAGACAAGAGACCGTGTGTACAGACTATGATTACCTGGAGGTAGGAATTGCAGTTGGTTATTAGCTAATCGAAGATGACGTAAAGCTCTCAGACGACCAATTTCTGGGCAAACAATTTCTAAGGCATTGTCACTAAGATCCAAACACTGGAGTTTTACAAGAGACCCAATGGCTTTAAAGAGAAAAGAAGGGCAAAGGCAAAATTAATTTGACCCAAGTGTTATACAATACCTTTAATGCAAGTACTCCAAGTTAAAATATTTTAATACTTAATATCACCATCTCGGTTGCTCACAGAATAATAAAAACATACATAAAATTAAATTTTATGGAAATGATAAGACCTCTACCTCTATATAAAATATAATAACTTACGAAAGAGCACAAATAAAAAATTCTAAAACAATGTAAAGTATTACTCGAATAAATAAATATTCATAAAACAATATATAAGGTCATTTTTAATGTAACCAAAATTCGTAACTGGATTTACTAAATTTAGAACTTATCATTTTATTATTTACCTGGCACAATATATCTAATAATAATTTATCTAGTCATTATAACTATTTTGGACTTTTTATTTAATCATGATTCTTAACTGGATTTACTAACTGGGGGGGGGGGGGCAAATCACTGAAACAAATAAATTATAATTAAAATTCACTAATACACCAACCAAAATAGGTTTAAAGAGACCATCTGGGCCTGGGGAGGGTGTGGGAGCAGGGTGGAGGGGGTCAGTGAGGGGAAAAGGAGAACATTTGTAATACTGTCAACAATAAAGATAAAAATTTTTTTTAAAGGGGGGAGAGAGAGACTATCTGCTCTACTACTACAAAAGAAAGCTTAAACTATAGTGTTTCCTAACTAAAAATTGGAAATGCACTTACTTACCTTCTGGAACCACAACTATGTTATTTGAATGAAGGTACCTGAAGAAAGATCAGAGAAACAACCCTGTTACCATTCAGTATTTCTGCCACAGAATGGGTTTGTAAAATGCTCACTTAGAAATTTATCACATATAAAGAGACCAAACCTTCTTTCACACCTACTCTAAGTACATAACACAAAGTATATGGTCATCACAGATAACCAGTAATACTTAAAAAATAATATGTTACAATTGTAAATATTAAAACTATTGATTCAGTTGCTCTTTATTTTTAATTTTTATTTTTTGAAAATATATTTTTATTGATTTTTTTAGAGAGAGAGGAAGGAAGAGAGAGAGAGAAAGATCGATGTGAAAGAGAAACACTGATGGCTGTCTCCTGCACGCCCCCCACTGGGGATTTGGCCCACAACCTGGGCATGTGCCCTGACCAGGAATCAAACTGGGACCTCTAGGTGCATGGGTCAACACTTAGTCCACTGAGCCACACAGACTGGGCTAGTTGCTATTTTAAAATAAAAGATACACAATAGAAAAACTATGAGGTGATTTTTCAACTTCATAAAACAAATGACTACTTTCTCTACTTCATTTCAAATTATTCAAGTTTTCAGAGATACAGTTACTGTACAAAGAAGAATCAGCAATTATTGTGTATAATAAAATGCAACTTTTAGTTTCTAAAGCATAACTTCACAAAATAATCAAACCAAAGACATTTCCAGCCAGCAAGCATGCTTACTGAGAACCAAGAATTCTGGAGAGATTAAATACTCATCATTCATAGTATCTGTAGAAATACTCAACTGTCAAGGTACAGAATTTATTTCACAGCAAAAGGAATTTCATAAACAAGAATCAAATTCTTTTCTTAAATAGAAAAAAAGTTCACGAGGGCTGACAAGTCCAGGCAAAACTACTTCTCCCACCGCGGTATCTTTAGCACACCCTGGTGGAGATTTCATGCCATCAGCAGCAGCCAATGAACTATTCAGAGCAAAACATTAACGACCACTGGAGACCATATAGTAATGATTTTAAAAATCAATTTATATCACTGATTTTGAGACAAGAAAACTAGATTTTAATAAACTTTATTTTCAAACCTATCATTTTATTTATTATATCCCATAAACCAATCTTTATAAAATCTTTTTAAATAGAATTTTGAAATATTCTATATTTTTTAAGTCTAATATCAAATGTTAAAATATCAGTGACACAGAATAAGAAAGACATAAAATTAATAAATTTGAGAAGATTATTCTATGCTGTATTAAATCAATTTTGAAGTAGATATTAATTAACCTGCTGGGTCTAAACACAATTTAAACAATTACACCATTCCATGATAAATTTTATTTCTTGTTTGGTGTACATAAAATGATATTACATTTTAAAATAAATATTCTTTAAACATTAATTTTAGTTAGAAATACCTAACTTATCAGGTGAATCTAACAATTCTTTGTGCCAAAGCACTAAATGTTCTTTAAAAAAAGAAAACAGGCCCAGAATGGAGTCACTTGTGCTGAGACTCAAAACCTAATGTAACTGCACTTTCAGCTTCTCCGGGGAATATAATCTTAACCAGTCAGTCTGGAATTTCCTGGTCAGCACTAGGGAGGTAACCTGCCTGACAGACCCCTGCCGCCCACCAGGGGAAGGTGACCTTGCCTGAAAAACTACATTCTTTGCTCAATAACTTCCTTGTCCCATCCTCTTTCTGCCTCTAAAAGACTCCTTTTCTACAGGTTTTCTCCTGTCTGCTAGATGGGATATTGCCTGATCAATGAATTTTTTTATAATAAAGACCATTTGTCCTTTAAATTTACTCCATTGAATTTTGTTTTTTACCAATAAGTAGGTGTGCATACACACACAGATACACACATGTACATTTGTTACACAAAAGACAGAGTGCCTAGACAGCAAAATAAAACTGATTTTCAAAATGCCGCAAAACATGTGCTTCAGCTCAAGTTCTACCTATAAAAAAGAACCTTAAAATGTCCAACTCAAAATGTGACCTAAGCATTCACTGTTATGATTGAAACCAAAAAGCATATTCTAGCACAGTAAATGTGTCGACATTATAATGAAGATGTAGCATACAGTAGTACAGGATGTTCCCAATCCTGTCTACATATTAGAATCACAAGTGGTCTTCAAAACATTGATGCACAACACCATCCTGTACCAAATGAAACACCATCTCAACTCCTCAAGTTATTCTGATATGCAGCTGGTTAAGAATCATTGCTGTTAGACTGGATCAAAGAGCAGGCTCTGCAGACAGACCGCCTGTATCTTTACAGCCTTGTGACCAGAGGAAAATTACTTAGCCTCTCGCCTTCTTAATCTATAGAAGCAGAAGGTAATAGCACTAATTATAACATAGGGATGTTGTTAAGAATTAAATAAATCAATACAGGCAAAGCTCTCAGAACAGAGTTCAATGAATGCTGTTTTTTTTATTGTTATAATTAGTATTGTTATCATGAGTCATTTGTAATCATAAGCTTAGTAATTTAAGTCATTTCTCTTTCCTTAACTTTTTAAATTCCAGAGTAGTTGAAGTATTGGTGTTTCAATGGAATGAACTGTTCATTGTGTTCTTCTACCCTCATAATGCAGGAACTTTCATTTATTGCTGGTGGGAATACAAGTAGTGCAGCCAAACTTTGGAAAACAGTTTGGCAGTTTTTTTAAATAAAAATTAAATACAGACATTACTTAATAATAATATGCCAATGTCAGTTTCTTTGTTTTGACAAACGTACGATGAAACTGGAAGATGTTAACAATGGGAGAAACTGCTTGGGAGGTATACTGGAACTCTCTGGACTATCTTGACAACATTTTTATAAATATAAAATTGTTCCAAAAAAGAACAGTTGTTGAGTTTTCTTAAAAATTAAACGAGTAAGACTTTCACTTCCAGCCATGATGGAATAATAGGGACCAGATTTGCCCAACTGCTGCTATAAGCAACAAGAAAACTAGGTAGAATCTATAAAACAATTACTTTCAAATATTGAAACAGGCAACCGGGACTATGTTCCCTGAAAGAAAGGAAGCAAGTGGGCTATGAGCCACGCACTCTCCCTAGCTTTCTGCCTGGAGCAAACTGTGGACTGTGGAACAGGAAGGATCCAAAACACAGTAAGGAAGTCTCACTGAAGTACGGAGACACATATCAGAGTTCAGGGAAGCTGAGGCAGCTGGGAGTTGTGGGGAAGAGTTCTGGAGACAGGGTACGAACAATAAAAAAAAAAAACAACCCTCTAAAAATTTAAATAAGAGATTGTTTGATCTTAGCTGAATTCAAAATGTACTTTAGCCAAAAGGCAACTGAAAAGCTATTAGGTAAATGATCCATAGAGTTCACAGAGGGCTAGAAGGCATTCAAGTTCTGAGCAAAGTGTACCAAGTCCTTAATGATCAGTTGGGGTACCCCAAAGAGGACCCTTCTAGCCTAGATCCTTAGTTAATAGGGTTAAACTACCCCTAGAGTAGCAGTTATTCAGGATCTGTGCAAACAAAGTGTCAAGTCAAGTCATAAAAGGATGAAACTTAACTGCTAGGACAAAGTGCAACAAAAAAAAAAAAAAAGGAAAACAACAGTCTAGACACTCAATAATGTAAACTTTATAAGGTCCAGAATCCAGTCAAAAAGTGATAGACATGCCAAGAATCAGGAAAATGTGATCAATAATCAGGATAAAAACAAGTCAACAAAAACAGACAGAAATAATGGAATTGGCAAGCAAGGACATATTCAGGTATTTAAAGGAAAATATGGACATTGTGAGAGAAATGATAAGGTGCAAGGAACCAAAAAGAACTTCTACAGATCAAAAACACAACACAGAGAAAACGTCACTGTATGGGATAAACAGCAGATTGGACACTGAAAAAAGAAACTATTACTGACCCTGAAGACGGAGAAATACAATTTGTCCAAACTAAAGCACACAGAGATACTTAAAGTTGATGCAGTAAAAAACAAAGTGCTGAGCTCCATTTGGCATCACAAAGTTAATCAGCAAAAGTACTAAAGCACACAAAGCATGGAGGATGCAAGCAAGGAGACTTTTACGCTACATTTTATACATTTTATGCTACATTTTATACATTTTATCAAGTATCACATGGAGTAGCAGTAATAATAATAAGTGTTGCCAATTACATGGACTATCCAGAATGATTCTGTGACAAAGATGCACCCAGAAAAATTGTACTTTTCCACCATCTTCACTCCCTTGAAGCGAGATATTGAAAACACAAATTTAAATGGTTAGAATACTTTAAAAGACTTTTGGGTTTAGCAGAACCACAGGTCTACCATGATCATGATACTAAAAAATAATAAATTAATACATTAAAATTATATTTCCTATTATTTCAAATAACATTATTTTCATTCATGTTTTTATTTATGAAATTGAATAAACACACTCACAGTTCCACCAGGTTTGGAAGCTTCTGAGCAAGGTTTTCTGGCTGAAAATTAAAAACTGAGAGTTAAATTTTATTTTTGAAAAATGTATAAACATCTCTAAAGAGGTTTAGCACAAACTAGTATCTTTTTGAGGGCTGTAAATTTTGAGAAAATGATGTGAAAATAATAAATCAGCAGCTCTGGATTTATGCTTATATAGACCATACAATTTAAATTGACGAATCTGAACACTTCAAATCAATGTCCCCTGGAGAAACCAGAAACCTTGTATTCCATGGGCACGGAAGAAATAAAAGTATTCTTAGCAGACACAGACAGAGGGAATAACGCCACGTGACGCCAGGGCCAGAGATGGGCATGACTCAGCTGCATGGCCCCGGCACACCGCTGGCCACCCCAGAAGCCTGCAGGAAGGGCAGATTCTCCTTGGGAGCCCTGAGAAGAAACCAGTCTCTGCCCACACCCTGAACTGGAACTCTGGCCTCCAGAACACTTCTGCTGTTCTGAGCCACCCAGCGTGTGCGATTTGTTATAGCAGCCCTAGGAAACTAACCCCCACCAAAAAAAAAATCCCCAAACTGTGCTCTTCAGAAGAAAATAGGGTAATCCCCAGGGGCCAGAAACCAAGACCCAACTATGCTTAGAATAAATAAGAGTAAGCTGGAGCTCAGGTGGTCCAAGAGAGTGTCACGTTGAGTCACAGGTCCTAAATTTGGAGTAGCAGTATGGTATGGCAGGAATTAGAAACAGCCTGTTGGGAGGAGAGGAAGGGAGTTGGGTCCAGGTCCCTTATAGAGTCAGAACCCTGGAAAGAGAAGAATCACAGATAAATTCCGCTCAGAGATTGAAGCAGGTCTCTCTCTGCTGGAGCCCCTGAGTAGGAGGAAAAGGCTCCCGTAAATAATTGAAGCCAGCCTATATTCATACACACACACACACACACACACACACACACACACATACGTGCGCGCACGCACACAGTTCAACTTTATAGGAACTTAAAGATGTGAGTCATTAAGACTGAAGGAGCACACAGAGTCAAGAGTAATTTTTTTTTCATTCTGCCTTCAGACATACTGTAGAGTAAGCTAGTTACCAACAACAAAGAATCTCGGGAATGACTTTTTTTTTTTCCCTCACCCGAGGACATTTGTCCATTTTTTGTTCAGATAGAGTGGGAAGGGGGGAGAAAGAGAGAAAGAAAAACATCGATGTGAAAGGGACACATCGAGTGGCTGCCACCCGCACAACCAACCAGGGCCGGGGACAAACTGCAACCGAGGCACGCGCCCTTAGCAGGAGCCGAACCTGGGTCTCTCTGGACCGTAGGTCCACGCTCTAACCGCTAAGCCAAACTGGCCAGGGCTCGGGAATGATTTTTTGGAAGAGATTACTTCTGATCTAAGTCCTAAAAGACAAATATAAATTATCAGAGGTTGCCTTGGAGAAAGGAGGACAGTCTGGTTAGATTTCTAGGCACAAGAAGCAATACATGAAAAGGAGAGAGGGAGGGAAGGAGGGAAGAAGGGAGGAAGGGAGGGGGAGGGAAGGAGGGAAGAAGGGAGGAAGGGAGGGGGAGGGAAGGAGGGAAGAAGGGAGGGAGGGAGGAAGAGGAAGGGAGAGAGGGGGAGGGGTGGGGGAGAGAGAGAGAGAGAGGAAATTGCAAATACAATCTATTCTGCTATAACTCCCTAACAGTACTACTAAAGAAATCTTTTATTTTCAAAAAATCTTTTATAAAAACAATTTTGTCAATAGAAAACAGAGTTAGAAATTAGAACGTTTTATATTTTTAAGAGAGTAATTTTTTCTACAGAAACGTATTAATGCGGCCCAGTAGGTGTGGCTCAGTGGAATGAGCAGCTTCCCATGCACTGAAAGATCTGGGTTAAATTCTGAGTCAGGGCACATGCCGGGGTTGTGCGCTCGATCCCCAGTAGGGGGCGTGCAGGAGGCAGCCAATCAGTGTTTATCTCTCACATGGATGTTTCTCTCTCTCTCTCCCTTCCTCTCTTTGAAAAGTCAATGAAAACATATTTAAAAAAGAAAAGAGCTTAGTGCCCTGGCCAATTTGGCTCAGCGGTTAGAGCATCGGCCTGCAGACCAATGAGTCGCGGGTTGAATTCCGGTCAGGGGCATGTACCTTGGTTTGTCCCCAGCCCTGATTAGGTTGTGGGGGAGGCAAGCAGTTGATGTGGCTCTATCACATTGACGTTTTCTCTGTCACTCTCTCCCTCCCTCCCAATCTATCTGATAATAAGTAGAAAAGCATCCTCAGATGAGCAATAAAAACAAAACAAAACAAAACAAAAAGAAACTTGGTAATGGTGATTGTCATGTACTTTTGTATCATTTGAATTTTTTTTAATCCTCACCTGAGGATATTTTTTCCATTTATCTTTAGATAGAGTGGAGGGGAGGGGAGGGAGGGAAAGAGAGAGAGAGAGAAACATCAATGTGAGAGAGAGACATCGACTGGTTGCCTCCCCCACTACCCCTACCAGGGCTGGAGACAAACTGCAGCCAAGGTACATGCCCTCAGCCAGAACCGAACCTGATACTCTTTGATCCGAGGACCAATGCTCTAACCACTAAGCCAAGCCAGCCAGGGCATCATTTGAATTTTTAACAGTGAGCATGTATGTCCTTTATAATTGAAAAAAATAAAAAATTAAAAATTAAAAAATGTAGTACATGCGGTATATAAATTGCTACATAATTGAGCAATCAATCATATTATATGCAATTTGGATTCTAAACATTGAATAAGAGAAATGTCATTAGTTTGGTAGGTCTGGACCATTGGGTATTGAGGATGTATAATGATTTTGCAGAGAGTGGCAAAAAAGACACTGAAATATAAGGAAAAACATTTTAAAAAAATCCTGAACACAATGGAAATCTACTAGTTTTATTTTTCAAAAAGGAAATGACACTGTTAACTTCATACTGGGATACTGTTCTATTCAAATACTTAGCAACAGTATGCCAAGCTGTTTCTATACATTTATCCTTGCCTTTCTTTGATAACCAAATAGCACCGAATATGAACTTTTACGAAGTCAGTGCATTTACCAAGCACCCACTTTTGATAAAACCACTTAGTTTTCAAATGCGGAAAGGTGTGATTCTTTTTTCCCCACGTTCAACATCTGCAATGAAGTCCTTCATGAAGTCTTTCCTCAGATGTTACTTTTAGTACCATCATCTTCCCTAATGAGAAGAATGTATACTTCCACGTACTGGCATACAAACAAAGCATCTTAGAAAAACTAGGGAACTGGGGGAGGGGGGGGCTTAATAATAGCTGTTCCTCTAAAAGGGAAAGACTTTTCCAGAAAACAAATAATGTTAGAGCCTAATCTAGTTCTGTGTGCTACAATACCAACATCATATCTGCTAACCTACGGGACCTGTGGTCATTCTTCCCTTCCAGACGCCTATCTTGCTCCTTCACATAGCATTCTAATCAGGGTTTGTTTTTGTCTTGTTGTTGATGTGTTTCTGAGTCACAAAGCTACACACACAGGTAAGTAAGGAATAAAGTTTCTGCTGCCGATGATGCATCACTATGTCTTTATTAACAAGTACATCGGGTTTTTATTTTTAAGTAAGCACAATGACCTTGGAAAGTTGCAATTTATTAGAATACTGGGACTTGGGCCCTGGCCTGTTTGGTTCAGCGGTTAGAACGTTGGACTGCGGTCCATAGAGACCCAGGTTCGGTTCTCGCTAAGGACACGTACCTTGGTTGCAGTTTGTTCCCAGCCCTGGTTGGGTCATGTGGGTAGCAACCACTCAATGTGTCCTTTTCACATCGATGTTTCTCTTTCTCTCTCTCCCACTCTATCTGAACAAAAAATGGAAAAATGTCTTCGGGTGAGGATAAAAAAAAAAAAAGAATACTGGGACTTGAAAAAACAAAACAAAAAAATCCACTTATTAGTACCTACTCCAAAAGCCTGGTAAATAAGCAGCCTGTTGCCCAGGCTGTGCTGACACCTGCTGGTGCTCTGCAATACCATTCTTGCTTCCTGCTTGCACATTTTAGTAATGCAACTAAGTAATGAGGGAAAGCTATACATTTTAATTTAACTTTAAATTACCAGCCAACCAAAAGGTGGTGGGTTCAATCCCGTCAGGACCCTCTCTATTCTTCCTATTCATTCACTCCTCCTTTCTTGCTTTGCCTCCAAACCAGCTCTGATCCCATGTTTCATCATTTTAATCACTCTTGCCAAAATCCTAAATCTATATATAGATCACCAAAGTCTGAAAACTGAAGAATCTATTTTAAAAAATCTAACTCTGCACTACAAATAACATATATACCAATATGCTAACCACCCTAAATGAAAGATATATATCCATTTATGTCCAGGAACAGCAAAGACAAGCAAATTTTATAATGCTTTTACTCCTTGTAGGTATTTTATATAGATCAATAAAACTTTTCCGAAAAACACCTCATATATATGAAGCTGATAAGATATACTTTCAGATATTTTAGAAAGTCCAATATAGAGAAGGGGATAAAGAATGGGTCAATTCATAAAGAAAAAAAAAAGACATGTAAATTATCTAAAATTAGTAAGAACTAGAATTCAAGCATAAAATTCAAATGAAGTTAAGTGGTAACCAGAAATGGCTACATAAAGCAAACCCATTTAAAACAGAGACCAAATTTCTTAATAAATAGTGGGAATAAAAAGTTTGATTGGAGAATTCTCTTGAAAAAAAAAATTACAAAATGTTTTTTAAAATTTTTTATGCAATAAAATTTAGGTTATAATGATAACTATGTGCTTATTCTTGGGACATAAAAAGAGTGTATCAAATGTTGTTTTTGTGGCAAAACGTTTTCCAACAAATTGGATGATAGCCCAATTCAAAATCATTAATTTTCACAGTGCAATCATAAAAAAGGTTTTTGTTTGTTTTTTTTTTCAAAACACTCAAAGGCTACATCAAGCTTCCCAAATGCCTATCTTAATATTTTAATCTTGAAATAATTCTTTTGTTAAAGTCATTCTTGTTTGTCTTTCTCTTCTTTACTTCTTAATTGGTCCATTTGGTATTGTAACATCCAAAAATCATCTAGGAAGCTTAACACATACACAAAGAAGGCTCCGGCCCACACAGATGCACAGGTTAAGTGAAGAGGGGTTTTTGAATGGGGACAGTTTTATAAGTGGTACATTTGTGAATATTTTGCTTTCCTACATAGCTCCTCCTGTAACCACACAACTGCAGGGACTTGAATAATAAATTCTCAGCTAATAAGAACCCTCTGTAAGTGTGTTTATAGTAGCTGTTTATATAATAAGACAGGATATATATCTTAGTCTGAATATCTTAAGATATGTAAAATATACCATGGTCAGGACCACATTATAAATGAGTTTTTGAAAATGCAATAGGATACTGTACCAAGGTTGTAAGGGAGTTCCTTTTCATATAGAGTCTCTCCAAGTACTGTAGGCCTTCATCTTGCAGTAACTCCAATGGGAAATGGTGTAGATTCCTATAATTTAAGAACAAATTCTTGTGCTTTTCCAGCCTTGCCACAGAGATCGTCTTACAAAGTTCGGATGCCATGACTGAACAGATCCCATCAGGCACGCTGCAGTACTACATGTTGTCAAAATTGGTCCATTTCTAAAGAGGAAAAGGAAAATTCCATAATTATAATATTGCTTACAAGCATTGCCAAATAAACCACTCAGCATATGGAACTATTTGCAGACACTAAACAGTGAGTTCCACATTCAATCTCCATATTTTTTTTTTCATAACAACTGAATTTGTCATACATATTTAGAAGACTAAATTAATAGCTCTAATAAAAATACACTCACTATTTAGGCAATATTTACCACTTAGTAGAAATAGTCCTAATTTAAAAAATAGTCTTGAAGTTGAGATCAGAATGTCTAAGAGAATACAGACCAGTTTCATAATGGGCAACCAAACAGAGAACTTAAAAATCAGATATAGCAAATCCTCATCTTGTATCTAGCTTAAGGTATTTAAAAAATATTTAAATATGTATATAAAATATATCTAGATCATTTACAGCTTCAGTTTCTTCACTTCTTATTATCTTAATATTGTCCTATATACTAACTTTTTGTTTCTTTAATCTCTTTATTCTTTTATTTCTTTCTCCTGATCTTTGCAGATTATCAGAAGTAGCAAAGACATAGTTCTGGGAAGTGGTTTCATTTAATTATTTCAATGAAAAAAGAAATACTGAACTAGGAAATAAGAATGCTATATTATTCTATTATAATTTCTCTGGGTTTAGTTGCCTAATATATTAAATGGAGACAGCAATTTATTGGTAAAGGTCAAAACCCAGAACAGATTAATTTTCCTTCTAGCTCCAAAACTGACAAGGATAGGAAGAGAAACAATATTTGCATCTTGTTGACAAGGTATAAGACAGAAACAAACTTCACAATCACTTAACACTGGAAGAAACAAACTCAGAGCTTCAATACTTTGTCCAAGGTTGAACAGTTCATAAGGGACAATAAAAGCAAGGATTCATTTTTTTTTCTTGAGGGAGAGAGGGGTCCAGTGTATTTCAAAGCCTGGGTTCTTTACGTACACAGGATGCTAAGACAATGCTAAAACTAAAAAGAAGTTAAGCTTGGTTCAGCCTTTACCCTCTATTTTCCTGGGCACCCTTTTTAAAACTCTCTACTGGAAAGTATGTTTTAAGGAAAATAGTTTTTCACTGGGAATGAACACCAAGTTAGTGCAAAATGTAGTAACATAACTTTCAAAGAGCAGAGTTTTGTAACCTTTTGGTTATTTTCTATTATTTCCAAACTCTAATTCCTAGCCAATAAGACAGCATTTGCCATTTTATACAAAAGGACAGAGAATGTGAAATATTCAGTAATACCCCAATGCATCATACGAATCCAATACTGTCCCATATATATTCAATCTACTCACCTATTTTTAGGAGACATATTATGTGACTTTGAGCAAGAGTCTCACATCTTTCCACATCTTAATTCTCAGCTATAAAGCAAGTAGAACCTCAAACTTAACACATTCAAAGGAGTGCTCCCCGCTCCCCAAATCCTCTACCTTTTTTTTTTTCTATTTCAAAAAATAGCACACGCCTCCATCCACCATCTGCTGAAAGTCATGAATGATTCCATCCATAATTCACCTGCCTTCTCCAATTTATGAGGTCATCTCCAGAATACCTCTTAAATCCATCCACAATTCCCCGTCACCCAAAAACCAAAAGCCACTGCAATCTCCTGCCTGGCCACCTGTGTGACTGGTCTTCCTGTGTCCACTCTGGCCACGTTCTAATACATTAACCACTTAGCTGTAGGCTTATAAAAACGTAAATCCAGCGGTCTCCGCCCCCTCCTCTCTCAGGTAACCTGACTTTCTAGTGAGCAGATATTCTACTAAATAAATCCTTCACAAGTATATTTAGCCCTGGCTGGTTTGGCTCAGTGGTAGAGTGTCCGTCGGCGGAACAATGAGTCCTGGGTTCGATTTCAGTCAAGGGCACGTACCTCGGTTGCAGTTCATCCCTGCCCTGGTCGGGGTTGTGAGGGAGGCAACCAGTAGATGTGTCCCTCTCACGTCGATGTTTCTGTCTCTCTCCCTTTCTTTCCCTGTCTCTCCCTCCCACTCTATCTGAAGATAACATAGGAAAATATCTGACCAGGCCACAGGCTATTCGCTATCTGGGCCTGCCTACTTCTTCCGCCTTATCTGGAAGTACTCTCCCTGGCTTCTCACCAAGTTCCTGGGCTTTTCTAGTTTTTAAAAATGCCCTTGCCCTGGCCAGTGTTGCTCAGTGGTTAGAGCGCCGGCCCTAGGACCAAAGGGTCCCGGGTTTGATTCCAATTCAAAGGCATATACCTGGGTTTGGGCTTGATCCCTGGCCCCCGCTGGGGGTGCATGCAGGAGGCAACCAATCAATCTCTCTCTCTCTCCCCCTCACCGCCTTCCCTTCCACTCTCTCTCTAAAAAAAAAACAAAACAAAAAACACAAAAAATCAATGGGAAAAATATCCTCGAGAGAGGATTAACCAAAAAACAAAAAAAGCGCCCTCCTTTGAGCCAGGAAAGCACCATCCCACCATTCTTCCGGTTTCAAATGTGAAAATCCCTTCCCTGTCCCAAGCTGAAGTATTCCCCCAATTATGTCGGAGAAACCAATGGTCTTTTTCTTGGTAGGACTCCTCACGATTTGTAATCTCTATATTTATTGGTGTACTTGCTTATTGTCAATCTAGCCAGGAGACTGGATGCTCCTGAAGGCAGAAGACAATCTTGAGGTTGTCTCCACCTCTGTGCACCTGTCTCTACCATTAGCTGACGAATGGGTGACTAGGACATGTGAATTACACATACAGTGAGTCCCCACTTAACACCTCCGATAGGTTCTGCAACTTAAAGCGAAACAATATAGAAACCAATTTCCCCGTAGGCTACCTGGTATGAACCAGAGTTAAGTTCTCCTCAATGTTACAACAAAATGACAATGGACAAAACAATGTTATTGGAGGACCTGCTGTACTGCAAGGGAGATTTCTTTCATTCTCTGATCTAAGGTCTGCTTGTGGATAACCATATACCTAGTGTTTGCCATAAGCCATAAAGATCCCCAATACTTACAACTCTGCGTTGCAATAGACATAATTTACCCCCATTTTACAGATGAGGAAACTGAGTTTCTCAGAGGGTAACTTGCCAGCACTCCAGCCCGGGTGGGTCAGCTCTAAAACCTGTGCCTGCCGGACCAATTCCGTGGGGCCTCTGCGTCTCACCATTATCATTCAAGCGGCAGGCAAAGCTTATATACATGTAAGACTACAAAGCAAAATTCGAGATAAAACCCACACTCATGAAAGACCCAATTAGAGAATTCGCGGTAACCAGAATTCACTGTAACCGGGATGGCTTTCCTTCTGAATCCTCTGGCTGGAACTGACTGCCTTCAAACACGTCATTAAATAAACCCTGTTAAAATGCATCTTGCTACAAAGGCACTTGCAGAGGTGAAAACCTACCCAAATGAAACCTGAAAGTTGCCCATGGAAAAATAATGCGCATGCGCCCTGGTCAGTGTGGCTCAGCAGTGAGAGCATGGGCCCAAGGACCAAAGGGTAACGGGTTCCTCTCCGGTCAAGGGCAAGTTCATGGAAAAATACCCTCGGGTGAGGATTAACTAACAATAACAATAATAATGATGCGAATGGTTTTCCAATCTGCATGCATTGGAAATATACATCCTTTACCGGGATATTTTTCTACCTCTTACCTGCAGTGAAAAGTAAATGGCACATTCAGTACTAACTGCACCTCCACAGCGAGTTTTCTGGCAGGGAAACACCACCCCTCGTTAATGATTATGTAAAGAAACCAAACCTTCCACCTTTCGAGCACTTCACACACGTTAGGCAGGGGTGTCTCAAAGGAGAGGAAGGGGTCCCTTAGCCCGACTTCGGCACCTAAGTCGGAGCACCCGCTCGTACTTCCTAACCCTGGACACGGGGCTGCACACGGCGCGTGGAAAGCATCTGTGAAAGGCCATTTCCTCGGAAGCCCCGCGGGAAGTCGCAGGCGAAACACACGCCGTCCACCTCCAGTGTGTGTGCAGACGGAGGTCTGCAGGGTATTACACGTCGAGCACGGTTCCAAACCCCGACGTCGTTACAGTCTGGAAGCAGCGAGCCAGGTGACAGGTGTTTCCCAGACCCAGGATCCCGATGCTCAGGGCCAGGAGGGCCCCGCAGCTGTAGGCACCTGAGGGCCGGCCGGGCCCGCTCGCACCGCGGTCCACCCACCGCCGCCCCCGGGCTTTCGCCCGATCCAGCCTGGGAGGCGGAGGCCGGGACAGCGGGCCTCGCCACTTCGGCCGCCTGGGACTCCTGAGCGACACACTCACCTCGGCGCCGGCGGAGCGGGCGCCCCGGGGCGCAGGCTGCGCTGGACCGCTACCGGGGGACGCCGGGCGGGGCGGGGCGCCGGGCGGGGGCGGGGCGAGGCGCCGGCGGGGAGGGGCGGGGCGGAGCGGGGCGGGGCGGAACCTTCACTACACAGAGCTGGGAAAGAGGGAGCGACGGAGGAGGACGGAACCTCGCGATAATTCCACCCTGTTCTCGCGGTTTCACGATAGGTCGGACGAGAGGCTCGTTTTCCAAGCGATGTGGCCATTGGCCGAGAGCTTCGCTTCCTCTACACTGGCCCCGCCCACCTCCCTCTTTGCTTCCGGCTGCGGCTGCAGGCTTGCTGTCAAGAGAGAGTGGCTTTTTGCTTTTGCGGTTTGAAGGTGTAATTTCGCCGGCTCCAACCTCAGACACCGTCAGTCACTACGCTGTGCCCTCGTTCACACATTCATTCGAGCCCTCGTGCTGTCATTCAGTGCAGACGTTGTTACAGCAATAACACCCGAGCGCTGGTTGTGTTCCAAGCAGCGTTCTAAGAGCTGTGCCTAGATTAACCTCTATTGACCCTGCAGCAATCCCATGACACAGGTACTATTATTGTACTCCTTTGGCGCATGAAACACTGAGGCCGGGTGGGATGATGCAACATGGCCAAGGGTAGTTAGCAAGGAGTGAGCCCGAGCACGGGATCTCAGGTTCGTTCCAGCGATGAGGCGGTGACCTGGTCTCCGCTCTTGAAATGCCTGCTGTTGGGAAAGATCAGGGGAAAGGGCAGTGTCAGCTTAGTAAGTATTGAGGCCGTTCCTGACTGAGTAGGCCTTGAATACCTATTTCTTCAAGACCGAAAATTTCTGTATCAAGGAATGGAGACATCAAAGGAAGAGACCCTGATGCTGGTTAAAAAAAAAGAAAGAAAGAGAGAGAGAGAGAGAGAGAGAGAGAGAGAGAAGGAAAGAAAGAAAGAAAGAAAAAGAAAGAAAGAAAGAAAGAAAGAAAGAGAAAGAAAGAAAGATCCAAACATTGTTAGGGAACATTTTATAAAAAACAAACTAGTTGTTTAGATACCTTGTTTGTTAACGTGGCAACTTTCCTCTCGAAATGAGGTGGTTTTTAAAATTTTTTCCTCTTGTGAAACTGCTGTTATTTATTCTTTGTAAAGCTTGATATTGATTCATTTATCAGCGGTTCATTGGCAAGCCAGCTTGACTTTGTAGTTTTACGTTGGTTTAGTTACTGTTAGAGATGAATGACCTAGAAAGCAGAGTTACATGAAATAAAAATAAAACCTATTCCAAAACAAGGCATGAGTTATCATGAAATACCAATTATTTATTTATTAAACCTGGTCTTCAGAAGTTACTGAAGTATACAGCATGGTGTGTGTGCCCTCCACTTCTGAGACCATTTGCACAGGTTTCTAAATACGTAAGAAATTGTAATACTGGGGAATTTTTTTGTGTGTGTGCTAGACTTAAAGTGAGGAAACCTACAGTTTGTGTAAAAACAAAATCCTTAGGGTATTAAAAATCAACCCAAATAATAAGACTTGCTGTTCATATCGAAGAGTCACAAAAAAAGGATTAACAGTAGATAGAACAATTTCTCAAAAACTAATCAATGTTAGCCTCTTATTTTCATTTCTTTAAAAATGGAAATATTTTAATGTGTTAATTTAACATCTGATATTTCATCATGGAAAATGACTTATCTTAACATGACTTCTGCCCCCTGAAATGGACACATAAGTGACCAAGTGATTCAATGTGTTAGTATAGTTAGCAATCCTATGACTAACTTAAAAGTTCTCTAAGTCTTTTAATGTCAATTTTCACATTTTGCCTTACTCAAAACAAGGTGGGGAATACTCTAAACCAAGGAGCTGACAGTCTTTGACAAACTCGAAATCAACCAACATGCGGTGATACCACTTTAAGAAAATTCCAAGGAAAAGACAACCTTGTTTAAAAATTCCCACCTCTGGCTTCCAAGGATTGGGTTACAAACTTCGACAAAATACCCTTCCCCACTCCCTATTGGTGCATGCTCTATCATTCATTCTCCTGCCCTGGAGTTTTGTGAGGTACCACGTTGCTTTTCCGGAAAAGGCTACTTTAACTAAAAGGCTACTTTAGTCTGAAACTACCCAACTTTAGATTTTTGATGGTTATCGGTCTGTAACAAAGAATCACCGAGCTGTTACAAGGGGAAATAGCTGTCAAGACAACTGTGTAAGTCACTGGAAAGAGAAACGGAGAACCTCTCAAGCCGCAGTGAATGGACAAAGGATTTAACAACACAGAGATGTGAGAGTTGAAACTTTTCTGATTTTTCGCTAGTTTTAAAGAAGTTACTGTTGAGGGAAAACCAGATAAAATGCAGGCACAATCCAAGAGTGTCAGGAAGCGGGGTATTCAGAAAGGGTGTTTTTCTCTTCAGGGTGGCGTTGGAAGAACATTATTCCCAGATTTGCCTTGGGTTTTTGGATAATAAAGGGAACAAGATCATATTAATTATAAATGATTTTATACTCCAAGAAGCTGTAGTTTGTTGTTGTTTTAATAGAGGAACACTTAGTAATGTTACTGTAATTACCAAGTGAGAAAGTTATTTTTGTTTGTATGTTATCATACCTAGCATAATAGACAACCCAACCCATCTATTAAGAGAAAATTAGAATCATCTTTGGATTCAAATTTTGTATGTATTTGTAGATGGGGAGATGCAGAGGCAGATCTGCTAATGATCAAGCAAAATGTAATTATTGTATATGAAGTAGTAGGTAATTAACAATAGTTCTCAAAAATGAAATTCAGCATTTATACAGTATTTTCAAAAATGATATTTTTATTGAAACTAAAATATAAAAGTTTAGGGAAATACTGATAAATGAGAATGACATATACGGGCTGGTACAGAAGTAGGTTTGCAGTTGTGAGTACGTGAAACAGTTTATTCTTGTATTATTTATTAATTATTATAATATTTTCCATGGTAACAACTATAAACTTACTTTTGACCCACCCTGTATTAAAACGTATTTGAGCCCTGGCCAGTTTGGCTCAGCGGTTGGAGCATCGGCCTGCGGTACAGAGAGACCCGGGTTCGGTTCCCGCTAAGGGCACGTACTTTGGTTGCAGTTTGTCCCCGGCCCTGGTTGGTCGTGCGGGTGGCAGCCACTCGATGTGTCCCTTCACGTCGATGTTTCTCTCTCTCTCTTCCTCTCTCTCCCTCCCGCTCTATCTGAACAAAAAATGGAAAAATGTCCTCGGGTGAGGATAAAAAACAAACAAAAAAAAAACGTATTTGAAATAGCAACACAATGTTTTTTTTTGGATCCAACCCGATACATAATTCTGAAATATAGCATCTTAAAGATTCTCTAAACATTAATTCACTTAGTAAATAAAATACCTCATGGCACATCTAGAAGTCTACAAGGCCTAATTCATTGTAAATATGCAATAAATATTTCTTGAGGAGCCTCTGACAATCTATATAGGGGATATAAAAGAATAAAATACAACCTCTCAAGAGGCTCACAGTTTAGTTGGGGGAATAAGACTCAAAACATTTATTTATTTATTTTCATCTTCACCTGAGGATATTTTTACATTTATCTTCAGACACAGTGGGAGGGAGGGGGGGAGAGAGAGAGAGAGAGAGAGAGAAACATTGATGTGAGAGAGACACATTGACTGGTTGCCACCCGCACAACCCCAACCGGGACCGGGGATGAACAGCAACCGAGGTACGTGCCCTTGGCTGAAATCGAGCCTGGGACTCTTTGGTCCGTGGGCTGATGCTCTAACCGTTCAGCCAGATCGGCCAGGGCCACTCATCCTAGGTCATGGGTGAGTTGTCAGCCAATATGTGCAGCCTAAGGAATTACTGGCTCTGACTGCAGCAGAAAGTTTAATTGGAGGCCTTGGTAAAAAAGAAACAAAAAACAAAACAAAACAAAACAAAAAAAACAATAAGAAAAAGCATGAGAAGTTACATCAGAGTTTGGGTTCCTTAGATCCGAGCAGGGTCCAATGTAGGGCTATTACTCTCCATTACGGAGACAAACACCTTTGGAGTACTTTTCCCTCTGCATCATGAATTTCGAGTTTTTCCAGTCCAGTTGGTGGGAACAGGCACTGCTTGCCTTGATGAGCACGAGACACGATTCTTTTCAGACTTGTTAGAGGACTCTCTCCAGACTCAAGCAGACCTTACATACCTGCCAATCAGTATTCCCTCCCCATATGTGAGGGGTTCCCTCTGCTAATGTCTGGGCTCCTCTCTGCACAGCTCAGTCTGCTCCAATAGTCTGTCCTGTAGACTCAAACCCTGAGCTCTATTTTCCCAGCTCAGATAGTCTACAGGGTAACTTCTAGGTCCCCTGAAATTGCATGCCCTGGAAACTTTCTCAAAGCAGTAAGCTGGGGCGATCATGCGGCTCCCTGTGCTTCTCTCTTCCATCTGTCAGGTCTGATACCCCGTCTCTTGAAAACCATTATTTCGTTTTTGTTTTTGTCTGTGGGTCGGTTGGTTGTGTGTTTTTTATTTTGTTTATTGGTTGGTTGGTTATTTCAGGCAAGAGGTTAAATCGGGTCCCTAGATTGGACGTGGAATTTAAGAAGTCACTTTTTTCCACTTCAAGGTCAATGGGGGTTGAGCTGATCTAACCTGGGCTCTGAGAGTTGTTTGGGATCAGCTGAGTTCTAGTGTATATTATATATTAGATATTTATTATATATTATATATACATATTAGATATAACATGGGCATGTTATATATAGACATGCGTGTATATGTATGTGTGTGCATATGTGTGTATATATACATATATATAATGAATAAAGAATGTTTGATTTAAACTGAAAATCAGCCTGAAAGTTTTACAAAGAAGTCAGTACTAGATACCAGGATTTTTTTTTTGGCTAGAATGCTACTATTTTCAAAGAAGCCATGGGTGTAGTGTTGAAATTTTCCTAGAATCTAGCCTCAGTATAATGCAACACATATTTCTAAAAGTCAACATGCAAATGATTATTTAACGCCACTGTTTTCTTATTTAAAAACCAGAGGATAATGTATGTAAAAATATGCAAGACTCACAGGAAACCCACGTATCCAACCACTTAGAGGAGGTCGTTGCTGCTGTCAGCATAACCCCTGGAAAGAACATCGAGGTCCAGCTACCTCAGACAGTCCTCTTCCAGCCTCCGCGAGAGAAACTCCACCTCTGCAAAGAGAAAGCGAAGTCCCATGCCAGCAGGCATGAAGTAAGGAGCCTTCCTTTTCCATACCTGTCCTCTGGTTGCTGAGAAGTGCAGTCGCTTAGCTTACGTGCCTAGTCTCTGGAGTTTGGCACGAGGAAGTACGCAGGAGAGCTCCTTTGTCACAGCCCGGGTGGGTATGGCACAGGTCAGGACTCCAACACGGCGGCTGGAAGCAGCGAGTTTGCCTGAATGAGCGCGCAGATGAACAGACAAGTCTGCCCTGACTCGTGTGTCTTCTACACTGGCTGCTCGCAGGCTGGGCCTCCTGCCCTCTCATTTCCCGCCGGTCAATACATAGTTATTGAGCCCCTCGAATGTGCACATCTGGGCACTGGAATGCGACACGAAGCAGGTGCAGCTTCTGCTCTCCGAGCTTAGAATTCTTATGTTCTTAATCTTCTCGTTCTCTACATACTTTTGTCCTCTCCTCAAAAGCTTCCCCCGCTTCATATGCGTTTCTCCAGCACCTCCTACGTGTCGGGCTCTGTTTGCTCATTCATTCCCCAAAGGCCTACTGTGTGGGCACCACATGCCAGGCCCTGTGCAGGTGCTGAGGGCAAGGGTGGCAGAGCCATGGCGTCTGCCCCGGAGGGACTCATGGTTTGGTTGGGAAGATTGACAGGAGACAGACAGTGGTAGTCGGTGACGGACACACGTTCAGGTGAAATAGTTGTCAAACGTGGGGGTCTGGGTTGTGGGGAAAGGGGTAGACAATGAGCCTGAAGGTGGGGGGTGGGACAGCAATCTAGACACACTTTTAGGGATAGAAGTACTTGGCCTGCCCTGGTAACAGTGCTTATTAGGAGTTGGCCAGGTAAGGGGGAAGACAATAGATGGAGGTGGCAGATAATAAGTTAAGGGTCTGAGGGACACAGTCTGTTTGGGGAACTACAAGGAACCTTTTGGATTTGAGAGAGCGAGAGAGAGGAAGGGAGAGGGGAAGAGAGAGAGAGAAACGTCAATGAGAGAGAATCATTGATTAGCCGCCTCCTGCACACCCCCTACCCAGGATCAAGCTCGCAACCCAGGCATGTGCCCTGACCAGGAATCAAACAAGCACCGAAAGGATTTGGTGCACAGGATGGTGCCCAACCAGCTGAGCTACACCAGCCTGGGCTGAATACTACTCCATTGTGTAGCTACATATACCTTTTCTTTATCCGTTTATCCATCACTGAATGCTTAAATTGTTTCCATGGGACACGGGCAGGAAAGGAGGTTGGTTTATGGATAGGGGCCTGGAGGGTTTTAATTTCAAGAGTTTAGATGTTTCTCCTGAAGGTGTAAGAAATGATCATAGTACTGTAAGCAGGAGAGTGCATTGGGCAGGTTTGAGTTTCTGGAATAATCACTCATAGCTGGAGAAGAGAGCGGAACGGGGTGAGGGTCGGGGACAGTTTGGAGGACATTTGCAGCAAGGAATTACAAGAGCCTGAACTACAGCAGAGATAGTAGAGATGCTGATATTGTTTGACAAGAATTTGAAATTGCCCAGTCAGTGTGGTTCAGTGGTTGGGCGTCGACCTATGCACCAAGAGGTCGCCAGTTCAGTTCTTGGCCAGGGCACATGCCCAGGTTGTAGGCCCAATCCCCAGTGGGGGGCATGCAGGAGGCGGCCATTCTATGTTCTCTCTCATCAATGTTTCTATCCCTCTCCCTCTCCCTTCCTCTCTCTAAAATCAATAAAGGGAAAAAAAAAAAAATCAGTGCAACCTGGTGACTGAGGGGGAGTCAGGGATGGAGGGGCGAGAGCACAGTCTTTAACTTAGGTCTCCACTGGCCTGGTCACTGGAGGCTCACTGGTACCCTGTGTCTTTGTAATGAACACAGAGGAGGAATAGGATTATGGAGAGAGGGCATGAATCTAATACTGAATGTGTGCTTATTCATATGCAACCGATATTTATTTAGTACCTACTATGTGCCAGGCCCTGTGCTAGATGGAACTAGGTTGGCAGCCTTTTTCAGTCCGAGTTCTGCTGGAGAATTAAACACTACCACCCAAAACCCATCTTTGTTTTGTTTTCTTATGCACCCCAAGTGCTTAGAACCAAGCCTGGCACATAGTAGGCACTGCAATAAATATATAAGGAATGGGAAAGAGTACCAGGTGCTTTTGTGCTTTGTGGCTCTACGCTTTCAGTGGTCTGGATGGTCTAAAATGAGCTCATTTTCTCTTCCTCACAGTATAAGCAGGCGATCCCGGAGCTTGTACGCTGCGTAGCGTTGACGAGGATTTGCTATGGCAACTACCATTGGAAACTAGCAGAGGCCTATGTTAATCTGGCTCAAGGCTACCTCCAGCTGAAAGGTGAGCTCAGCTCAGACTGCAGAGGCTCAGTCGGTTGGATTCTGTTCTTCCCCCATATTGACTCACACTTAACTGCAGTGATCTTGAGAATGATCTCGATCATTCTCCTCTCCACACATTGGGAAGCCATCTCCTTTCAGAAAGAATCAGTAAGATTTTTTATATAATATATCAAAAAGGGGAAGGAAGATTTGGGTCCTTGGGAGTTTTGTTTTTTATGATCTTAGGGTTCTTGGGAGAGGATTAATTTGTTAACTTGGAAGGCATTGTAGAAAGGGCCCAGGGCACCAGAGCAGGGGCCTGAAATGGAATCCATTCAAATTGTATTGATGGGGAGTCTCTTGTCTCTAAGTGATCCCTGCCTGCAAAATAAATAAACGGTGCTGGCATAAACAAAAGGTAATTTATCGGTGCGTACAACTCAGAAATCCAAGGGTAAAACCTACTGTAGGCTTGGTGAGATTCAGGTATTCAAACAAAGTGATCAGTTTCTAACTTGGATTGTATGTCAGAAGCAAGGAGTATTGTAATTAGCTAGACCCACCTTTGACTCTACTGGATTCTGGGGAAGAGGCCAGCCTTGGCTAAATCACATGGACACGTGGCGGCGGGGGGCGGGGGGTAGGTATCCCCAAAAGAAAACAGAAAAAAGAGTGGGTACAGGGAAGGTCCAAACATGGATATCATGTCTTCTCCTCTCTGACTGGGCAGCCTAGGGGAAGATGGACAAGACTGCTTCTCCGTATTTTGTTTCTTCATCTGAAACATGATGATGATGGGCACACTAAATTCCCAGGATCGGCCCAGTGAATAAATAAAATAACAAGTGGAAAACACCAACATGCTAAGCAAAGAATTGGCACCCAATAAATACGGCCAAAACTGATGGTAGACTGGTTCTACTTGTTAGATAAGAGACTGTCAGCACCAGAGGGGACCTTGGAGATCATCTAGCTCCAACCGAGCTCTCCCTCCTAGTTTTCAGAGTGGGAAGGAACAAGTCCGAGTTGAAACCGCTTGCCCAGATCACAGCGTTAATGCACAGATGGTCTGAGACTCAGCCCTAGGGTTTTGAGTGCCAGTACCCGTCTCCTGGCATCTGGGACTTCACATGATGCTTTTCTTCCACAGTCTGCTATCTTTCCGCACGAGTCTCTCTTTCTCCATTTAAAGTCAAAGCAGTATGTACTTTTTACCGAGACCTTGTTGAGTTCTAGGCACCACGCCATTTTCCATGCATAGCCTCATTCAGTCTTCACCGCAGTCCCATAACGTGGGCAATGTCATTATTCCCTGCTCACCACTGAGGGAGCTGCGGCTAGAGTTTCAGGGTAAGTGGTGGAGCAGGGACGTCGTTCTGGGCAGTCTGACTTCGGAGCCCGTGTCCTTGAACCTCACCTGGTGCTGCGTCCAGGAGACTGAGCGCCGGTTACCTGAGGGAATGGACCAAGGTCGAAACCGCAGCCCGCCGCGTCTTTTGTAATATTGCTGGCATCGTCGGCACGAATACGTTTCTGGCAGGGGGATGAAGTGTGTGCTTTAAAAAATAAGATAAAATTCTGTAAGAGCTTCTCTGAATTTTCATTATCAGGAAATATATTCTTTCTGTCTTATAGACAGGAACAGAATTAACTTTGCATTTCGACAGCTTTTTTAGACCTTCGAGATACAACTCCGTGTAATCAATGATGGAAGATGAGAGTGTATGAATGTAGGAGGAGGGGGTACAGAGGGGAGTATCAGTGTGGGAAGGAGGAGGGGAGTGTGGGGAAGTGAAAAACCCTGAGAAATAATTGGTGACCCCCCCACCCCAGTGTCACTTTTTTTTTTTTTTACCCTCACCCGAGGACATTTTTCCATTTTTTGTACAGATAGAGTGGGAGGGAGAGAGAGGAAGAGAGAGAGAGGGAAACATCGATGTGGAAGGGACACATCGAGTGGCTGCCACCCGCACGACCAACCAGGGCCGGGGACAAACTGCAACCGAGGTACGTGCCCTTAGCGGGAACCGAACCCGGGTCTCTCCGGACCGCAGGTGGACGCTCTAACCACTGAGCCAAACCGGCCAGGGCCGCAGTGTCACAGAAAGAACCCAGAATGCCCTGAGGAATTGGTTCTTGGAAGTAACTTTTTAAAAAAATTATTCCATTTTGTTTGATATTAGCCTATTATCACACAGGAATAAGAGATTGCAGCACATTAGCCTATTACCTCATCGGAACTGTAAGTGTTTGTAAATATTATCGTATTTGTATCATGTTAAAATAACTCTCCAAAGTATGATTAGCTGGGTAAGCAGAAGATTCGGAATGTTTAACGTTTCAAGATCGCTGTCACCAAGCCAGGATTAAAATTCATGAATATCTTATTTCCTGCCCAGAATGCTGTAATCCTTGTATTTCATTTGTTTTCTTTATAATTATTTAGAACATACTTTATGTCTGATATTGGTGAGGTTTCAAAGCTGTTCAGTTCCTGCTTATTCTGTTTTCTTTCTAAAAAGACCATTTTGGGAAAAAGTGATCTTATCTTGAGGACTAGAGTGTGGAGATTTCATCTTCAGTACTTGGTATAAGACACTTTGTTTGCTACAATCGTAATATTTCCTGCTGCCCCGACACCTCTCCACTTGATAGGAGGTGAAGGAGACCTGATTAGTTTCCCTGACTGTGAGTAACTATATTGTTGTCCACTGAGATGATAGAGAAACTGAGACTTCTTTTTTCTTTGTCCACAGGACTGTCCCTACAGGCCAAACAACATGCAGAAAAAGCCAAAGAAATCCTCTCCAACTCCGCTCTGCCTCCCTATAACGACAATACAGATGTTTTCAGGTGTTCGGTTGAGCTATTTCATACCATGGGGAGAGCCTTCCTCTCCCTTCAAAAGTATCCTTTTACCTCTACTTACCAATAGAAATACTGCTCATGTTACTTATATTTCATGCTCAAAGCTGACAGATGACTCCGGAAGGGTGATGGGAAGTATGAGAGCCAAGGATGTCCAGGAACTAGGGTCCCAGAATCTAGACCCAAGGGTCAAGTTTCCTGAATGCGACGCAGATTTAAGGAAGCTGCGGAGAACTTGACAAAAGCAGAGAGGCTTTTGAAGGAGCTGCTGCAGTGCGGAAGGATGGAAAAGGAGGAATGGGTCGAACTCCAAGTGCAGATCAAGGTGTCGTTCGCACAGTAAGTTTCTCACTCAGGACTTGTTGTGTACGTGGCGGCTGAGGTTTCTTTGCCAGAAGACTGTCTCCAGGCAGGAGGCTTCCCCACGCTGTCATGTCCGTGGGTTTTTACAGTCATGACCGTATTTCTCACTGCCCTGATCCATCTCCGTGTATCACTTGGCAATCAGTTTGTAGTACTCATCATACTCTGTGTCTCCCTTTTTTATTTTTAGTGGTACATGCCCCTAGCAGGAACCGAACCCGGGACTCTCTGGTCCGCAGGCCAACGCTCAACCGCTGAGCCAAACTGGCCAGGGCTGTGTCTCCCTTTCCCCCCACTCAGTGTTGTTTCTCATTGTTGCCTGTGCCTTAGTTCACTGCCTCCAGCTGTGGATGAGTGCTCCAAAGAAGGTGTTTGCCCCATGTGCTTAGCCGTCCCCCTGGCGTGACACTCAGCTTGTCCCCAGCTCCCTGCGCCCACAGCGGCGCTGCCTTGGACATCCTTGTCCAGCGTGGTCACAGGGTACGTTTGTACGTCACGTTCACCACGCACTGGCCAATGCTACACCCACTTACACTCCCCTCCAGGACAGGGGGGTTCCTGTCTTCTCACACCCCCAACAATATTTGGCATTATCTGTCTCTTAACCTTTGCCAACCTGATGCATATAATGTGCTAATTATTTTTACATTTCTCTCTCTTTTTTTTTTTTTATCCTCACCCGAGGACATTTGTCCATTTTTTGTTTAGATAGAGTGGGAGGGAGAGAGAGGAAGAGAGAGAGAGAGAGAGAAACATTGACGTGAAAGGGACACATCGAGTGGCTGCCACCCGCATAACCAACCAGGGCCGGGGACTAACTGCAACCGAGGTACGCGCCCTTAGCGGGAACCGAACCCAAGTCTCTCTGGACCATAGGCCGACGCTCTAACCACTGAGCCAAATTGGCCAGGGCTACATTTCTCTTATTAGCCACTTTGAGTACCTCTGCAGCTACTTCTTAGGCATTTGGGATGCTCCCTCTCCGAAGAGCCTGTTACTGTTCTTTCTCATTTTTCCCGTGGGACTTCCTGTACTGTTCTTGTTGATAATCAAGATTTTGTGATGCATTATAAATTAGCGCTATTGCAAATCATTTCTTCTTTTGCCCATTTCTTGATTTTGTCTATGGTGTTCTTCATGGCAGAGAAATTCTTGATTTTGCTAGAGTCGGAGCTATTCATTTTGAACCGAATGGCTTATGCTTTGGGAATTTGTTTAGCACGTCGTTCCCACTCAGATGTCAAAGATAGTTTCAAAAAAGTCCCTAGGAGTCCTGCCTGAAACTCTGTCCCACACGTTTTAACACATAGCGTTATCGCTGACATTAAGTTTTTAGTGTTTATAACTTCGTGTATAAATTACCCTTTAATCCACTGATTATTCATGCGATATGTGTTTTAGTTTGAAGATATCTGAGATCTTTCAGGGTGTTTGGGTGTTATTGATGCCTAATTTTATTATATTATAGACAGAAACATATTTGTGTAGTATGGACTCTGAAGTTTACAAAGCTTTCCTGGGGATCTAGTCCATGGTCAAGTTTCACGAAGGTTCCCAGTGAGCGACTAGGGACATTTTATTCTTTGCTTGTTGAGTGTAAGGTTGTAATAAGTCTGTCTTAGCGTGACGTTGTTAATTATGTTATTCAGATGTATATTTTTGTGTATCTTTGGCCAATTTGATGTGTTAGTTTTGAAGATAAGTGTGCTTAAATGTTGACGCACAATTAGTGAAGTATCTAGCGCTGTCCATGGTTCTGCCAGGCATTGTTTTATATAATCTGATCTATTCTGTTGGGTGGGAGGTTAAAACAGCAGCATCTTTTCTTAATCTATTATTTATTGATTTGAGGGAGAGAGAGAGAAACATTGTTTTGGTGTTCCACTTATTTATGCATTCATTGGTTGATTCTTGTTTGTGCCCTGACTGAGCATCGAACCCACAACCTTGGTGTATCAGGACAACGCTCTAACCAACTGAGCAACCCAGCCAGGGCCATGAATCTATTATTATTTTTTCTTTTTTTCTTTTTTTTAATGTGTTTTTTTTTTTAAATCTTCACTTGAGGATATTTTTCCATTTATTTTCTGACAGAGTGGGAGGGAGGGAGGGAGAGAGGGAGGGAGGGGGAGGGAGGAAAAGAGAGAGAGAGAGAAAAACATCAATGTGAGAGAGACACATCAACCAGCTGCCTCCTACAGAACCCTGACCAGGGCCACGGACCAAACCACAAATGAGATACGTACCCTTGAGCAGAATCAAACCCTCGACTCCTCGGTCTGCGGGCCAACGCTCTAACTGCTGAGCCAAACTGACCAGGGCTTAAATATCTTTTTATTGATTTTTTTTTTTTTTTTTAGAGAGAGAGAGAGGAAGGGTAAGAGAGATAGAAACATCGATGTGAGAGAGAAACATCGATCAGCTTCCTCCCACACACCCCTCCTGGGCATGGAGCCTGCAACCCGGGCATGTGCCCTGACCAGGAGTTGAACCTCTCAGTCCATGGGACGACACTCAATCCACTGAGCCACACCGGCCATGCTAAATCTATCAATTGGTCACTGTTTATTGTCTGTTGTTCCATATATCTATAATCTATTGTACCTGATCTTAAAATTGATACTGTAGCTCTCTTTTGGTCTAAGTTGTCCTAAAATATTTTTCTATCTCTTAATTTTCAGTCTTCATTTTTTGTTTTGTTTTAATTGCTGATATGTTTGAGTTTAAATTTCCTTTTCTCCTACCAGTTTTATGTTCCTTTCTTTCCTCTTTTCAGTATGGTCACATATTTTTATCATTCCATTTTCCTGCCTATTAACTGATAAGTTATACATTATTTTACTTTTCTTCCCATGGTCACCATAGAGTTTGTGGTTATATCCCTGACTTGTTATGCTCCAATCAAAATTAGTCAATAACCACTTCCTGGATGATGCAAGGTCCTTTGAGTATGTTCATCCTCTTTTCCCCTTCTGCTTGGTACATGTTTTTCTGTATTGAAATCACCATGTATTTCGTACCACAGAGAGGAAGAAGATATTTGTAATACATGTAACTTACAAAGGACTTGTATCTAGAATCTGTAAAGAACTCCAATATGTCACTAAAACAAAGACAAACAACTGAATAGAAATTTGGGCAAGAGACTTCACAAAAAAAGTTTACTCATGTAGCTACTAAACGTTAAATGGTGTTTCATCTCATCTGTCATCAGATGAGTGAAATGTAAAATCATAGGATACATCCTGGCCTGTGTGGCTCAATGGTTAGAGGTTCGGCCCTCGCACTGAAGAGTTGTGGGTTTGGTTCTTTGTCCTGGGTATGTATCTGGGTTGAAGGTTCAATCTCTGAACCCCGTTGGTGCGCATGCAGGAGGCAACCAATCAATGTGTCTGTCACATCCATGTCTCTCTCTCTCTCTCTCCTCCTTCCCTCCCTTCCACCCTCTCTAAAAATCAATGGAAAAAATATCCTCGGGTGCGGATTAACAAAAAATAAATAAATAAAGCCTTAAGATACTGCATGTCCACTAGAACAGCTAAACTTTTTAAAAGATTGATAATATCAAGTGTCGACAAGGATGTTATGCCTCTTCTATGCTTTCTCTTTTGCTGTTGTTTAGAAAATATTTTATATAGCTACTTTAGAAAACTGGCTTTATCTACTCTATCTGAGAGTTTGCATACTCTATGACCCAGCAGTATCATGCCTAAATACACACCCAACAGAAATGCATACATGTTCAGTACATGTTCACTAAGAGACACAGTGAAGACTGTCCAAAGGCACATTACTGGCAATAGCCAAGAATCAGAAACAAACCCAAATGTTCATCAAAAGTAAAATAGATATAAAGTTATGATATGTTCATACAAAGAAAATGATCAGAGTACTCCTGTCCGTAACATCATGATGATTCTTACAAACATATTTGTGAAAGAAGCCAGACGCCAAAGAGTGCGTATAGTATGATTCTATTTATGTAGTGGGAGGAGGAAGAGAGTCATGATTGTGAAAGACTACCGGGCCAGAATTTCTCCCTGCCCAGACGTAGATATTCTATTTTGCATTGTAAGATAAGAAATATGCAAATCAGAGGTCCAAGAGCTGATATTTATTACCATCTGTTGCCATCTGACTAACGTTATTTGTACTTAATATTGAACAATGTTGCTACAAAAGAGAGTAAATTTTCTTCCTCTGCCAGAATCAGGCACGTCTTCTGCTTTCCAAATGAGCAGTACCAAACCTTGCCAGCAGATGGTGTACCTCATACGCATCTGTGCTGCATACCTGACAAATCAAGTTCAGGTTCTCATCTGTCCTACAAAGTTACCTTGTATTCAGCAGAGTTGTTTCAAACTTGGCTACTTTTTTTCCATCCTGAATCTTCACCTTGACCCAGTCGCTGTAATTAGCATGTTTTTTTTCATTTCATTTAATTTTTTAAATCCTCACCCGAGGATATTTTTCCATTTTTGTTCAGATAGAGTGGGAGAGAGAGAGAGTAATAGAGGGGAAGAAAGAGAAACATCGATGTGAGACAGACACATCGACTGGTTGCCTCCCACACAACCTCAACCACGGCTGGGGATGAACCACAACCGAGGTATGTGCCCTTGACCCGAATCGAACCCGGTTCTCATCGGTCTGTGGGCTGATGCTCTAACCACTGAGCAAAACCGGCCAGGGCAGTAATCAGCATGTTTAAACGGATGGTTTTTATTCAGTCACTTGGCTTTGTTCCCTTTTTGAAGTGTGAATATTTTGTCCAAACTGATCTGCTTTAGAAAGCAACGAGGCTCTCTTTTTGTGCATTTCTGTAGTTACACTCCCAACCACAAGGGGCTTCTCTTTCGCCAGGTCTTGGAGGTGGAGACCAGGAAAACTTCTCAGGCAGCTCACACAGGATTTGTGTTTCTCTTAAAAGGGTATCTTTTAGGTGCATCCACTTCTCCATCTGTGTCTCCTTTTATGGTGCCCACCAGGCCAGGCCAGCTCTTTTGTCCTTGGGCGGACAGATGAGTGCCACAGTGACTCATGCCCCGTGCCTTTCATCCCCACGGTGGCCCAAAGCTGCGTCCCTTCTACCTGTCTGCCTCTGCTCCTCACACCGCTTCTTTCAGTAATTATTTATGAACTTTGGAGAGTGAATCCAATCGTGTGTTCCTATTCCCGCAGTTGTTTTAAGTATGGTCAAGAAAGTCATGAGCAAAAATGGGCAAACCCTTCGCGAGTATTAAGAATATTTTCTATCCTGGTTACTAGATTCCCCAGAGACAGGTAGCTGTCTGCATATGTACACCATTGCACATACAACATGCACATGCGCGCACACACACACACAGTTATTGCAATGATTCTACATGGCATGATTGTGCTGACCAATTGAAACGCTGCTCCAAAACACATGACCTGGCCAGGCTTTATCTCTGACTGCTAATGTCTTCAAAGTCTTACACAGCTTGCCCAGTAAGCCCTTGGCTTGTCCTTGCTGTGCTGAACCAGCCCTCACCTGTACCCATCCTAAGTAAACTTTCCACAGGCCATCAACAGGACACTTCCCAGGTATTCCTAAGGGACGTGACGTGGTGTCACTGACCATGTGGGCTTTAGAATCAGGTAGCCCCAGGTTCCAATCAGCATCCATTCGACCTGTCTGTTAAAGTAGGAACAGTAGTCTGTCACAGGGTTGCTTTGATGATGACGTGGACCCCACATTGAAGCATCTGGGTACCCTGCATGGTAGGCCCTTTACAAACAGTAGTGATTGTCCCTGGCTGGGTGGTTCACTTGGTTGGAGCATTGTCTCATACACCAAAAGTGTGCGGGTTTGATTCCCGGTCAGGACGCATACCTGGGTTGTGGGTTCGATCCCCAGTTGGGGCGCATATGGCAGGCAAACAGAGACAGACCAGATTACCTGAAGTTGACTGATGCTCTAAGTGAGTTGGTGATGGAGGTAAGACCCCACTTTCATTATTTTCTGATTTGGGAAGGGAAAAAAAGTCATAGCTGGCTAAGACATGAGCCTGGACACCAGGGATCAGAGACCCAAATCCTCACCACCAGACCACCTGAATTTCCAGTTTTTGCTATTTTAATGATTCTAAAAAGAATCACTTTGATTTTTTTTAGGCTGTATCAAGGTCAGAAGAAATCAAAAGCAGCCCTGGCCCACTACCAAGAAGCTCTAGACTACATGGAGACCAGTAAAGGCGAAAAGAGTCTTGAATGTGTGCCAGTACTGCGGGGATTAGCAGGTGTCGAACAAGCCCTGAAACGTCATGACGCAGCCATCAGCCATTTTCTACAGGTGAGCTGCAGCATCTTGGCCACCCCGGCTGTTCTAGAACCCCGTGCTTCTCAGAAACACGAGGGAAGTCGCATCTCTGAGAACGTCTGGCTTTGGGACTTGCTGTAATAAGTAGAGCACGTGGCCTGAAGCAGACGGTCAGCGAGCATCTTCGTGGAGGTGGCCGCGTGGGTGGGTGTGGGGTACAGTCAGCCCCTCTGTTGCCCTCACAGCCCGAGAGTCCCTGCCAATGGCTTTTCTCATACCAGGTGCATGATTTAAGTCTTATTTCCCAGAGAGCACCTTTTATCCGGTAGGATTTATCCGTCTAAAGTTTATGTGATTACACTGATTAGGGTTCTTTTCTGCTACACGGTAAAACCTCTGCCTGACGCCTCTTACACTGTCACAGGCTAGCTGCTGTTCTACTTGTCACCATAAGGTGACTCCGTGAGTGTGTCAGCCAAGGTGGTCCAGAAAAACGAACCGAGAGAAGTGATTTTAAGGAACATGATGGTGGGGGCTGCCAAGTCCGAAGTCCACTGGGTAGGCAGGTCCGCCGAAAATGCAATAAGATGTTCCGGTCTTGAGGGAGAATTCCTTCTTCCCTGGGAAACATCACCCTTTTGCTCTTTAAGCCTTTAATGCAATATTATCGAGGGTCATCTCCTTTACTCAAAGGCTGTTAATCACCTCTGCGAAATACATCCACAGCAACATCCGGGCTAGCGTTTGACCTGACAACTGGGCGCCGTAGCCTGGCCAAGTTGACCCATAAAATTAAGCATCACAGTGAGTGCGATGTTTCTGTATCATATCATCTGCTGAAAGCACATTGTTTTCTGAGCATTTTTTCCTGTTAGAATTGTGAAAGACAGACTAATCCATGCCTGTTATTTCAAATGAGATACAGTGACATGATGCTGAGAGGTCTTTATTGCTATTTTTTAAATGTATCTGACCTCTCTATTCCCGCCCCCAGATTGGTAGAGTGTCTCATCCCATCACTGTGTCTGGATTATCTCTCTTAAATATTACTGCTACCCAGCGACATGTTACCATTTCCAGTTTATAGGCAAGGAAGGTCAAGGTTGAGTGATATATCCAGGAATAGTATTTATGCCAATAAGTGGCATAACCCAGATTCAAACCCAGTATGGTTTTAGAAAAAGTATTCTCGCTGCTATGTAGGGAACGGATCGGGGAGGATGCGACTAGAGTGGAAATGGAGGAAGTGGTCAGGAGGCTGTCGAGGTGGCGCAGGCTGAACGGGATGGCGGCTTGAACGAGGATGATGAGTACGGGAGAGAGAAGTAGGCGGTTTAGCAACAATTTAGGAGGCAGAACTGGTGGGATATGGAGATCGATTGGATGTGGGGGGAGAGTCAAAGGGGACTCCTGGGCCTCTGGTCCGAGGAACCGAGCGGACGTTTGTGCGATTCACAGTGGGGTGCACGTGTAACTGAGGGGCGGACAGATGGCCAAGTCGGGTTGTGATGGCGAGTCTGAGCCACCAGGGAGGCACATGGAAACAACAGCCAGACAAGTAGGTCGTGAAGACGAGCTCAGAAATAGGTCAGGAAGTCACCTTCTTAAACACAGTAAGTGGGTAACCTGCCAGGGACGAACTTGCAAGAAAAACAGGAGAAAGTAAAAATGAAAGAGAGAGTTTCTGTGTCTTGATTCCTTTTGCTGTCATGGAGGACACGGCGTAGCTGGGGGGATACAGGAGATAATCTGTGTAAAGTGCTTAGCGCAGTGCCTGATGCACCGTGGTACTTACGCATTTGTAAAATGGTTTCCTTTCCTCTTCTTCCTTTTCTCTTTCTCTCACTGATGACCTTGTTGTGGGGAGCAGTAGGGCAACGATGAGGACAGAAACAAGACCGTATAGTGAGATAATAAGTGAGCTCCCTGGTTCCGGATGCGCGGAGAGACGAGGGAGACTGACCAGAGTCCAGAGCGTGTGCGTGGGTCTGAAGGTCACGCAGAGCTTGACCTCCGGGGAACTACGAGGTTTTGAATCATAGAAGGATTTCTCTGTCTCAAGGCTATAGCGGAATCCACTCATTTTTGTAATACTTGTCAAGTTTGGTAGGGGACTTTCATCGTTGTTTATTCTTGAGGTTCATAAAGATTAGAGAGTTTCAATGAATCCTTGCTGATAATTATTAAAGAGATCGCTTGGTGGAGTCAAAATAGCATTGGATTTGAAATCAGGAGACTTGATTTGGCATTCAGATTCTTCCGTTTGATTATCCAAGTCACTTAACCTCTGAAGAAAAGAGGAAAAACGACCCAACCGCTGCACAGAGCTGCTCAGGGGTTCGAGACGGAAAGAGCTGTGTGAGCCATGGGGCATGTTCCCGGTACAAGCTACTTTTATTGATTAACAGTCATTATTAAACCTTCACTAAGGCTCCCCTTTGCTTTCGGAACATTACCTAAGACGCAGGAAGGTTCAGCGTGGCCACAGCCCTCGGAGGGAGCCCGTGCCTAAAAGCCACTGATCAAAGACACACAAACAGAAGGGGTTTTATTGTCCCCCGTCTTGTTTCTCGCTCTGCATTCCTTTGGAGTGAGAGAAACACCCAGAGAGAAAGGACCTTTCATTTTCTGCAGAACATAGAACAGTTCCAAAGTATCTGGGGAACTAACGCATTAAAATGGAGGAAAACGAAGCCAACCCCACAGAGCCCCTGTGAGGAAACCAAGCAAATGTGATTGTTTCTGAAACTCCCCCTGGCAGACTTTGGCCCCAGAGTCCTAGGTTCCTATCCAGAAGAAAAATGACAGGATTCCTTTCTGCGAGCCAGAGTGTTCCGGGTGGGGAGGGGGTGTTTCCGGGGGTGTAAACCAACACCACACTGGCTTGTGCGGCCTTTTCGCAACCCTGACACTCGGATTGCCTGTCTCGCTCCAGTTTTCCGAGCAGTGCTGCGGCTCAGGACTTCCCAGATTTAGGGAAGCTTGATTTGCAAAGTATAACGAAATGATCTAACCTGGCAGTTACTCTACCGAAGGCTCTGAGACCCGAAACTCCTGCTCCAGGCTCCGCGCGGGGCGAGTCGCTGGCCCTGGCCGAGAGGTGCTCACACGGCTCGGCCGGCGGCAGTCCTTGCTCACTGCCGTGTGTGCTCTCTGCCGTGCTGCTTATAATTCCAAAATCTCTGGCCCTGGCCGGTTTGGCTCAGAGGTTGAGCGTCGGCCTGCGAACCAGAGAGTCCCGGGTTCGGTTCCCGCTAGGGGCATGTACCACCAAAAAAAAAAAAAAAAAATCTCTGAAAATACCAGCCTTTTTTAAAATGTAAAATTAGAAAAGCTGCAGACGGCCATGATGATTTTACGCATCATGAAAATGTGCTAAGACCGGTATCATCTGTGTGCCGTGCAGTTTCTTTTTAAGTTATATATATATATTTTTTTTAAATAAAAATGATAATGCTCTTTATATTTTCAAAAATCCAGCCAGACAGAAAAATGCAAAGACCTGAGTTCCAAGCCATTCCAGGCCTCCCCTCCCAGAAGTAGCTGATGCTGGCATGTGGCTTGTGCCCTTGCCTACGCACCGGGGGGTCCAGATTGAGGGACAGAGAGCGGAGGAAAAAGAAAGAAAGACTGCCCTGGCCAGTTTGGCTCAGCAGTTAGGGCATCAGCCTGCAGTCCCGAGAGACCCGGGTTCGGATCCCGCTAAGGGCATGTACCTCGGTTGCAGTTTGTCCCCGACCCTGGTCGGTCATGCGGGTGGCAACCACTCGATGTGTCCCTTTCACGTCGATGTTTTTCTCTCTCTCTCTCTCTTCCTCTCTCTCCCTCCCACTCTACCTGAACAAAAAGTGTCCTTGGGTGAGGATAAAAAAAAAAAAAAGAAAGACTGATGAATTTGACAGCATAAAAATGAAAAACCCCTTTGTGACAAAATATAAGAAAGTCAAAATGTAATTGCCAAAGAGGGGGAAAATATAAAGAGTTCTTATAAAATCTAGACCACAACTCAATAGAAATCTGGACAAAAGGCAGGCACAGATAACTGATAGGAGAAGAAACACGGAAGGCCAGTAACCATACAGAAATAATCCTGAGCCTCATTTGTTATTAAAGACCTATCACTTAACCAAGGAGGTACTGTTGTTCACCGACCTGTGAGCAAAATAAAATTATTCCACGGTGCCCCGTGGTGACAAGGGTGTGGGGAAGCTGGCATCCTCACGCCCTATTGGTAGGAGTGGGGATTGGCACCACTTTGGGAGAAAACAGTTGATATGCCCTCTCCAGTTTTAATGCACTGACACTTGGACCCATCGGTTTCAGAAATTTACCTGATGGAGAGACATGTACAAGTGTGGTCTGGTAGTGAAAGTGTTGTTGGTGCCCGGCCGGTGTGGCTCAATGGTTGAGCATCGACCCATGACCAGGAGGTCGCTGGTTCAATTCCCGGTCAGGGCACATGCCCAGGTTGTGGGCCCGATCCCCAGTGGGGGGCGTGCAGGAGGCGGCCAGTTAATGTTCTCTCTCATCGGTGTTTCTCTCTCTCTCCCTCTCCCTTCCTCTGTCTCTAAAATCAATAAAGAGGGAAAAAAAAATTTTTAAAGAAAGAAAGAGTTGGCAATATCGAAAAATTAGAAATACCCTGAAATCCATTCATAAGGGACTGGTTATGAAATGATGATGTGTCCATATGACAGAATACTGGAGAGCCACTAAGGGAAATGGGACGGATGTATAGGATCTAACATGACAGGTGTTCAAAGTGTATCATTATTTTCAAACGCCAGACGCAGACTGAAATGTTCCTTCAGGCAGCAAGTGAGGAAATCCATGTGGTGGGCTCTGGGTCTGTGACAGAAGGTTCAGGTGTCAGGGCCCTGCCCACAGCAGCAGCCTCGTGGCTGAGATAGACCTCAGCTGAATAATCACGCTGATGACCCGAAACTGCGACGGTGACGTGCACCACGGGAGCAGTGCCAGGGGCAAGAGCTCCCAACGGGACTTTCTTTCTTTTTTTTTTTTATCCTCACCCG